AATTGTGTGCTAGTTATATAAATTTTCCTTTTTTTAATAATTAAATCTCATCGTGTAAGCTGATTGATCAAATCTGCAAATGGTAGCTATCACATCAATGATATGGTAATCTTAGCATGCAAATATGCATCAATATTTATTCTTGTTATGTTTCTCTTTAAGAATATAGTGAATTTCTATGAAAAATTTATCAGGATACGAATAGAACTTTCTGATAAAGGTAGTTGTGTTTTCATGTTGTTATATGAAATCATAAAATTCATTGCACTTCTTTGATCATATTATGTATTTTTTTTCCTGGAAGATTTACGTACATATCACCCAATTTCGATGTATTTACATATATAACACCTGAAATTCATTTTTTTACATACATGCCACCTTACCTATGCATGAAAAGGTGTATTTCACTTATTAGAAGTTAAAATGGTGGTATTTTTTATGTGGTAAAGTTAAAATGGTGGTATTTTTTATGTGATATGATATGTAAATACCTAAGAATGGGGTGTTTTGTATGTAAATGCCCCTTTTTCCAATCATAAATTCTTCTTAACTTATAACTAAGTTTGAAACCAACACACGTTCCTGTATCTTCAGTGACCTCATAGGATTATTCTTATCTACTCTATTCTACGTTGCTTCTTTTGGCGGGCTTACTCTCATGTACTTCATCTACGTCTCCGATGAAACGGGGATTCTTAATATTTTTTTCATTACATGGACTGCAATTTTAGTGAAGATAATGATGGCTATATCTTTGCACTCTAAGGTATTGTTCCCTTTTCTTGTTCTATTTTTTTTTCTCCTTCACCACTTTATTGTGATGATTTTGTTATTTGCTTTGTTGATACGTATAAAAAAGGTTAATAAAGGGCTTCTTTCATCTGGAATGATGGGATTATACATCGTATTTCTCTGTTGGTCCGCTATTCGAAGGTAAATATTATTTTCTCATGAGTGCTTTTTTTTGGGGGGTACCACACAATTCTTACGTATTTACATATCCGAAACTCAAAGTTAGATACTTACATTTATAACACCTTTGTGTCATAAACCTATGCATGAAAAGGTGTATTTCACTTTTAAAAAGATAGTGGTGCTACTAATATTTCTTATGTGATGTAAAATATTTTAGTGGTATGCATGTAAATATCAATGTTTAGGCATTAGATATGTCAATGCATAAGAATTATGTGGTATGTTACTCCATTATTTTTTGAATCATGCATCTTAGATAGGTCTTTGCCGTGATTTGATCGTTTATATTAAGTTTTTTTTACAATTATCAATCATGTGAATAATTCCAAAATGCTAAAGTTCAAATGCCCCATTTCAGTTTGTTGATGCTAATAATTTTTAAAATGTGAAAATTTTATTCTACAATGGTGAAAATAAAACATTAAAAGATGTCATCGTTTTATATCTCCGGCCTATAGTTCAAGGTAATGTTGATATAGATGAGGATGTTATTAATAGAATTCAAGTTGGTTGGTAAGTGGAGGAATGCATCGGGCCTATTGAAAGGTTCCGCTCGGATTGAAAGTAAAATTGTATAAGATGGTGGTGAGAGATGCAATGTTCTATGGTGCAAAATGCTAGCCTTTAAAAGAGAAGCATAAACAGGTTAAGTGTTGCTGAGACGAGAATGCTTCAATGAGCGGCTTGACACTTAAAATGAATATATACGTGATAGGGTTGGTGTAGCTCCAGTGTCGTACAAGATGAGAGAGAGTCGTCTTTGATGTTTTGGTCACATTAAACGCCGACCATCTGAGGATCCTGTTAGGAGAGTAGATGTTTTAGATTCAACTTATGTTAAGGAAGGCAAAGGTAGACCTAAAAGGACTTGAACAAATTGTATAAAAATTGATCTCAATTTATTAGAATTAAATGAAAATATGACACTCAATAGGAAGCAATGGAGAAAAGGATTCATGTAGTTGACCTCACTTAGTGGGATCAAGGCGGTTGCTGTTGTTTTATCTTTAAAGTTTGGTTGTTTTGATCCTTCCGAGGATGGTGCAAAATGCTAGCCTTTAAAAGAGAAGCATAAATAGGTTAAGTGTTGCTGAGACGAGAATGCTTCGATGAGCGGCTTGACACTTGGAGACAAAATGTGAAATGAATATATACGTGATAGGGTTGGTGTAGCTCCAGTGTCGTACAAGATGAGAGAGAGTCGTCTTTGATGTTTTGGTCACATTAAACGCCGACCATCTGAGGATCCTGTTAGGAGAGTAGATGTTTTAGATTCAACTTATGTTAAGGAAGGCAAAGGTAGACCTAAAAGGACTTGAACAAATTGTATAAAAATTGATCTCAATTTATTAGAATTAAATGAAAATATGACACTCAATAGGAAGCAATGGAGAAAAGGATTCATGTAGCTGACCTCACTTAGTGGGATCAAGGCGGTTGTTGTTGTTTTATCTTTAAAGTTTGGTTGTTTTGATCCTTCTGAGGACGCAATGGAGAAAAAGAATTCATGTAGCCTACTTAGTGGGATAAAGGCTTGTTGTTGTCATTGTTGTTGTAATGGTGGAAATAAATCCCTTTAAGCTGCTTTCCATCAATATATAGAGGTATTTTGAAAATATGAAAAATAATTGTATTCACAATTAGTAGAGTTGTCAAACTTAAATTGATATGTAGGGAGAACTTAAAAGCATGCTGCCTGCAATGGTTTACTTCGAGAAATTGTTAATTGTGTTGCCTACCGGGACCCACCATATGAACCAAATATAGATTCAACATCTTAGGCTAAACCAATCCTATATTTCAAGTAATTTTAATCACTTCATGTCAGAACATTTAAAATAAAAAAAATGGAAAATAAGTAAAGGGTCCTTTACATAATCAGCACACAATTCTTGTGTATTTACATCTGCACACAATTCTTGTGCATTTACATATCTTACCCATATACTTTCAGTTTTACACACATAGCACTCAATTTGGTGTTGCGTATGTAAATATGAAAGTCTAGGTGTGCAATATGTAAATACATAAGAATTGTGTGCTTTGTATGTAAATTTAAAAAAAAAAACAAAAAATGCATGATTACGCATCTCAATCTCTGATGAGGTAATATATGATACTGGCAATTTATCTCCTATTGGCTGCTGTTTGTCTTTATAAATTACAAAAATTTACGAAGAAAAGTTCCAAGTCTAAACCTACACAAATGATTAATCTCATGAATCTGCAGAGAACCCTTCACTTCGAAAAGAAATTCCCACAACAGAATATCAGAGAATGTGGATTGGACTACCATTTTTGTGAGATATATTATTAGTTTTTGTAAATTTTTTTTTTTAAAATTTCTGGTCCCTGAAGCATTAACTAGAACTTTGGATTATTCTTTTCCTGCAGAGCTTCCTCTTTGCAGTATGCTCAATCGTAATATCGACCTTTATGATGGGAAGTGATTTCCAATCTCTTAAGGTGAGCCAGACTTCTATCATTATATAGATTTTCTTAGGAAGATTTACATACCTAACACTCAAATCCTGTATATTTTCATATCTAACACCTAAACTTTAATTTTTACATATTTGGCATTTTTTCCTTGCATGAAAAATGTTTATATCACTTTTAAAAAGTAAAAATAGTGGTACTTTTTACGTGATATAAAAGATTTGGGTGGTATAAATGTAAAAAATAAAGTTTCGGTGTTGGGCATGTAAATATATAGCAATTGGGTGCCACGTATGTTAATGCCCCCATTTTTTATTATAGTAGACAAAAATACATATTTTTAGGAGATTTTTCGTAAAGCTTAAATTTTTATGTTGGAGTGTATTATCATACATTTGATATTTTCTTAACTACGGAATAATGTACTCTTGACTTCAAGTATTTCCTTAAAGCAGAATAACAATAACTTTTAGGAAGATTTCCATACAGACCCCCAATTCCTTTATATTTACATATCTAACATCTAAACTTCATTTATTACATTTATGCCATCTTACATATATAACTTTTAATTGTTTATTTTTTAGTTTAGAAAGGATGAGGTTCAAACAACAGATGATATACCCTACAGCTATGAATTATTCCACTTCATCTTCTCTATGGGAGCTATGTACTTCGCAATGTTATTTATCAGCTGGGAATTGGATCATCCCACTAGAAAGTAAGATGTTCAATTGAATATATCTTTATTATCTGCAAAAGGATATAAACTAGGAATTCCTATCACTGATATAAACTAGGAATTCCAAACTAGGATATCATTACATACATATTACTGAATTCCTATGTATTTACATAAACTTCAGTTTTTACATATATGTCACCTTGTCCATGCATGAAAAGGTGTATTCTACTTTTTAGAGTTAAAATATTGGTAGTTTATATGTGATAATGAAAGATTTGGGTGGTATAAATGTAAAAAGGAAAATTTAGGTGTAGTTAAGTAAGTACATAAGAATTGGGTGGTGGTATGTCTGTCAAATGCCCCTATAAACTATTGAGCCGTTTGTCTTGACGTTCAAATTTTGTGCTTTTCAGATGGAGTATTGATGTTGGTTGGGCTAGTACTTGGATCAAATTTATAAATGAATTTTTGGCTGTTACCTTATACCGTAAGTGCTGCTCTTTTGAATGTTTCTAATGCATTCATCTCTCTACTTAAATCCTAGATTTATTTTTTAATTGGAAGATTTACATACATACCACTGAATTCCTATGTATTTACATATCTAACACCTATACTAATTTGTACATTCATGCCCACCTCAAGTATGCATGAAAAGGTATAGTTCACTTTTTAATAGTTAAAATGGTGGTGGTTTAAATGTAAAAAGTAGATGGGTATTGGTTGGTATGCATGTAAATGCCCCCTTTTAATTTGGCATGCAAAGCTTGTTAGGATCATTGTAATCTATGCATAGGTGATTTGTGTAAATAGATAGGAATTATGTGGTATGTATGTAAATGCCTCTTTTTAATTTGGCATGCAAAGCTCATAATTTTTGTAACTGTTATCCTCTATTTGAGGTGATTATATCTGTCTATAACAATAAAATATTAGACAACAATTTTTTTACAATTATTACATTCTATTTTATTATGTTTGATAATAAAAAGTTGCGTCTCCATAATAAATTTATTTAAAAAGAAAAAAATATATAAAAACGAGTTATGGTTCTTGTCTAAAAAA